AACAAGCTTTTCGATACTACTGTTTATACGACTATTTTATAATTTGTCAAATTTGCTTTCTAGTGTTTTTGTTTACCTAATGTTTTATGATATTTAAAAAACTATTAATTCTTTGCAGCTCCTAAATCACATAATCATGTTCCAAAGGTTATCATAGCTGGGAGTGATAGTGGAGAGAAGCTCCAAAATGCTTCCGTGGCATGTGTCTCAAATAGCCTCTGACTACTAAGTCCAGCTCCAAGCTGGAGAATGGGTGCGTCATAACTGGCTACTTTAGGTAGATAGATTGCGACAGCAGTTGGCTGACAACACTGATAACTTTCCAGCAACTCTAACAGCCAAACCAGTCCCAAATGCAATACCCTGTATTTATTTAGATCTTGTTGGTATATATGATCACCCAAGATTGCGGCCTGGTGAGATCACTTCAGTTTTATCACCAAAGGACTGAATTTTGACCAAACAGGGCACTAACTTTATCCCACAAGATAAACGGATGCATATATATATATATATATATATATATATAAAATTTAAAGGGCTTAATAACCAAAAAAGAAAATATCAAAAACAATAACAACAATTTCCCTGTCACTTCAACCAACCGTTCCATAGCATTGATGACATTAGATGCATACTTTTAGCATCTTCATTCAACAACCAACAAGAAAGATGCAGATCAGAGTTGAACTATATTTTCAGAATAAAATCACCTATTGAAGGATTAAACAGGGATTTAGGTTTACTCAGAGAGTAGAATTTCCACAGGATGCCCTCTAACCAACAACAACACTCTTCGAAAGAGCAAGTCCCACTTCTTTGTTTATTCCACATCTAGTTGAAAAGTATACAGACATGTCCAAAAATTCAGACTTTAAAATCTTTCTCGTCATGCTTCAATTTAGTCAAAAGGCTAATATATAATAAATATCATCAATCTTATTGACAATATTTTGTTGGCTTTTTCAAATTTTATTAACCAGCCTATTAAATCTCTCTCTCTCTTTCTCTATATATATATTCTATAAAATCTGATGCTCTTCATAACTGATAACTATTGATCTGAGATTTAGGGTTTCTTTTTCTTTCTTCTCATAATTTTCTTAATTACAAAATTATGTTAAATAAGTAACTAAGCTTTAAAATTTTAATGAAAAGGAAATTTCAAATAATACAGGGATTAGAAAATTTGATAAATGCTTGTATAGCAGTGTATTAGAATCAAAAGAATTTAAAAAGTTTCATAGTACATAGCAAATATAAGTATTAGGTATGATAATAGATATAAAAGATCCTTACCGCATTTTACTTATATAGCATTTATCGTTGGTATATTTTTGAATAAGTACAAAAAACAAAGTAAACAATAAAAATAATCAATTAAAAATTGTTTATATTTTAAACAAAATTATGACCTTTGTATGAGAAAATATTTTCTATTATGAATGAAACATAACTGACAAATTCTCATATATTTTACGATGTTAAACTCTCAAGTAAAAGATTTTCAAGCTGAATAGAATGTAAAAGGTAATCACAAAAATGATTGGAATGCAGTCACATTAGGTGTACTAGCACTGAAAGCTTACTAACAAATCTCAAAACAATATAATTATATTCAAACATTTATAAATAAGGATTCAAAGCAAGACTTTATGCTACAAGGAAGTCTGCATTTTTACATCTAATAAATCTTAGTCATCTATGGACACTATCTGAAAAAAATGTACAATTCAACTGATAGGGTTTAAACAGATTTTGAAAGACAAGAATTGTAAGAATTTGATGTATGATTTCAACTCTTGAAATCTGATTGATATAATGAACATTGGTTGAATATAATAATTTTGAATAGAAAAAGAAAGCATTACAAAAAGTACAAAATCAAGAAATTAAATTTTAGACTATAAATGGGTTACAGAGACATTTTTTTATTTCTCAACGAAAGGTATTATTATTCAGAGAACTTAAAACGATTACTTGGTTATTTATTTTAGTGCATCATTTTACTTATAATTATTATCACATGGCATAAACTACTGTAAGCACATTATTTAAATAAATTAGCCATAAATAATCAACAGTGCCTTTTTAGAGGCATCTGTCATTTATATTATTGCCAACTAAGACTATTTTTACATTTACATAAGTAGTGAAGTAATCATTCTAAGTAATGCAATTGACAAAAATAAGTGCTGCATAATTTGTTGTGATTAAAAATAAAGGTGCCCACATATACATGGGCTAACTTTAATAAATAACTATATTTACTTTCTCCCACAATTAGTATACACTGTACTGTACTATTTTTTACTATAAAGTTAATTAGAGGGCAACAACTTAAAAACACCAGGTACTGTGAGCAATATGAAGCCTTGTGTCAGACTAGGCAAAGTTTAGTAAATATCTATAAATCTAGCTGGTATAATCTAAACATATATGAAGAAAATTTTTAAATAATAATCTCTTGTTTATGAGAAGAGTTTATTAAATATTTGTCCTGATCTACTATCAATGAATGGAAGGAGATTAAATTTCACATGTAGAAACATGCATTTTACACATGGGATACACTTCACATAACAGGCCTTTAAGAATTAATTCTTCTGTGTTTCACATGTGAATCTACAATAAGATGTGACCATGGAGCTAGTGAAGTACAGAACTAGAATCAGATTCCAGTTTTTGACAGGCAACACACAACATACAAATAATTGTGGATGAGACTACAGTATATGTTTGGACTAGATGCTCTATCCTATATTGTTATGGTATCTTCATTTTAAATGTCAATGGACTTCAATGGAAACAAACCCTATTCTCAACCACTCTCATTCAGCCATTGATGGTAACAATATTCAACAAGTTGAAACTGCCATCTTAGGAGATCACCATATAATGATTAAAAACCTAGCAGATAGAGTGAAGATTAGTGACGTGGTAGTAGTGATGGTGGTGGTGGTGGTGGGGTGACTTTTGAAAATATCAATGAACCCGTGCATATGCAGAAACTATCAGCTCACTTTTCCAAAAGGAAACCTGAATCAATTGCGCCCATGAACATTTGGCCATGTGCCAAAAAAACAAAAGGAAATATTTTGCCAAATTAAGCAAAATGAAATGTGGGTTCATCACTTTGCCCAAGAGACTAAAGCACAGTTTAAACAATAAAAGCACTGGGATGTCTCACCTCCTGCTAGCAAGATGATGCTCATAGTCTTTTGAGTCCAAAATGGCATGGGGGTTTATGAATTGTCAAAGGTTGCAGGACTTATTATCTCAGTGTTGCTGAAATTACAAGAAATCACCAAAACCCATAAATGCATTATGCTCAGGATAGGTGTTAAGATCTTGCAAGAGAATACATCAGTATACAACTCCCACATTACACAAATGGTAATACAAACCTCTAGTTATTAAATTCTTCCATATTTGTCTATTCTCTTGGTACCATTTTATTTCCATTTCTTCTCTATGAAGTTATGTTTGAAAGGCAGGCACTTTCTAAATAGCAACACGGATTAATGGCTGTGATCCCAAACTGCCAAAAAAGGTCTCCACACATGCAGCAAATCATGTGAAGAGTGTGTAGCTATATGAAGAAAGATAAATCAATGTGCCAATTTTCATGTTTTTCCATCCAATGGAAATGAACACTCCTTGTATGCATATGAGGAGAAAAGAGATTATATTTAAAGCATTATGAAATGAATCAAGTGCCTATGTTAAAAATAACAATGCAAGTGTCAAAAACTCCAAACTTTGTTCATTTTAAGCCAAGTGAGTCAAAAATGATTAAAAAAATCTTTTTCAGCAAAGCATGATTACTAATTACTGTCCTAGTTAAACATTGGTTTATTCAAATTTAGAGTGGAACTATTTGTTTACAAGAAAAATTCTCTTGTCCTAAAAATATATAAATGAAGAAATAAAATGAACTATCATTAACAAGAATACCTAGAAAATAAAAAAAAATGTGCAAGATTATATGTAACACAAGAGAAAATGGCTTACCTTCTGGCAGAAAATGGATTCAGACTTGTCTCGCATATAAAGTATCCCAAAAATAAAATGGCAGCTTTACAAGTCATATATTTAAGAAATGATAGATCTCAGAGTCAGATACTTTTGTGAGAATCTTGTTTGCACCTATGTAAATTTGACCTGTCACTCAATCTAGAAAAAGTGCTTAATAAGGTGACAGAGCAGTGTGAGTGTGGTAGCAAACAGAAGACACATATGTTGGATTATCTGACTTAAGCTATGATGTTTGGTGAAAGAAACAAATTAGGAAGCTTTATTCTAAGCAAGAAGAAACTGACTACATTATATATATAGAAATATAGTAAATATGTAAAACAAAATGGAAAACTTCTATAACATGTTTTGTCATTGAATCAGCATCATCAGAAAATTAATTTCATTTCAACAAAATCCACAATCACTAGACAAAATGTGATTTACATTAAGAATATGAAGGCTTAATTATTACTTTAAATCATATCATTTTAGAAATTAGATTTCAACTCAGTTTTATTTCTATTTAGTTATATATTCATTCATTTTAAGTTTTACATCTCTCACAATATTTCATTCATAATTTAGTAAAGAACAGGCAATAAATTGAAATATCTTGGTCATATATTAATTACAGGAGGATCATACATCATGGGACTTTCAATATTTAGACATATAAAATCTATCTAATTGCAAGTTATTTGAGAAATTTCTTAAAATTTGATATCAATCAATTTTCAAATCACACAAGAAAGAAATTAGAATTTAACACCTTCTCTTACAATATTTATAAATATTTTCATTATATAAAACCATTAATTTTTTGTAGCACCTAACCAGTTGAAATGTTGAAAATAGTTTTATAAATAACCAGTTACAATCAATCAGTATTTAAAATGCAGTTATATAGAAATTAAAAAAAAGAGTTAAACAAAAAAAAAACACTAGTCTTTATAGTTAGATTGTAATATATTTGTACTCACTGGTTATAATTCCACATAAAGCAAGAATGAAATGTTCCTCATTAGTTTTCTCTTGGGGCCAATCTTCTTTGTATGTAGTCAGGAAACTATCCAAAGTGCTTTGTACAAGAAGCAAAAATTCATCAACTTTGCTCTACGAAATACAAATAAGCATTTTCAAAAATTAATTAGTTGCTGTAAGAATTCAAGTTTCACATGTTCTCTTAAGTAAAGGCAAAAATCAACTGGATTCAATTTGAAAAATAGCATTCAAAAGTATTTGGAGAAACAATATCTCATATCTGCTTTCTCTCAATAAAACTGATTTCTAAGTACTTATTTATAGAACAAATAATTTGAAATGGAAGAATAATATTTAATACTTTCACTGCTGCATTGTTATAGCATTGTTATCTGGCTGTGCTGGCCCATTTTGGGAAAAATTGGAAATTAACATTTACTGGAAATAACTATAAAATATGTACCTCAAAAATTGTTTACATTTTTTAAATTTTAATTATAATAATTTATTATAATAATTTTTCAAAAATCTTTTAAAATTCTACATTAATTTAATCTTGTTAGGTAATATTGTTATTAAGTGAAAACTATATTTACTAATCAAAAATTGAAAAGCTTAATACAAGTCATTTTGCACCAAGATTTTTAAAATAATTTTTAATTTTTTTATGTATATAAAATATTATGTAGCAAAGTTTTAAAGTTTGGTCGACCATACACAACATTAGCAGAAAATAAGAGGATGACTATAGTAATGATGAGTCACCAAAAGTGAGAAAATAATGGTCAAATAAATTTGGGTGAGACACTTGGTTTAGCAGTCTTAAATAGTAGTGCTTCTTCTGCTGTTTAGGGACATGTGACAGAACTTGAATATTGTAGTACACACTAATGCTGATGAAAGTCCATGAAGCAATGGTTTGAATGAACAACACAATGGGATACTGGGAGAAATGGTGAAGAAAACCATTGAAGACACAAGTTGTAGTTTTAATGTAGCACTTACATTGGCCAGAATTGCCAAAAATACACCTCACAGTGTCCATGGTTATAGTCCTAACCAACTTGTTTTGGGCAGGAATCCCAACTTGTCTTCTTTTTTAAATGACAAACTCCCTGCATTTAAAGGTATTTCTACCAATGAAGTTGTTGAAAACAACCTCACTTCATCACCAGGTTTGAATAAATATAATGCAGTCATTCAAAAAGGGTAATACTCTTCTCTAAAAAAAAACATATGTGATAGATGGCTTGGTCCAGAAACTGTCATAGGGTGGAAGCATAAGCAGGTACACGTTAAACATGGCTGTACATATGTGCATCTATCCCATTTAGTCCCCTACCCTGAAGCATGCCAAAGTTCTGAAGATGGCACAATAATGGAACAGATGCCCAACACCTTACAAAAAGGACCTGATAAAACTCCAAAAGTATCAATTTTTGAGGAGAATGATATGGATGAAGATATATGTCCATTGCTTGGCAATCAAAACACGTTAGAAGAGTCATCAAAAGTACTCTAGCAGCTGAAACATTAGCCATGGTTGATGCAGCAAAAGCATGTACTTTTTATAGGAAAGTTTTAGTAATGGGGTGCTTAATCGGACTAAAATCTATAGATCATAGTAACACTTAAGTTAAGTATGATGTAAATTTATTTTACATGTGTAAAAAATAAAAATAAATGAAATGTGTAAGTTTCTACTCAGTTCTCAAACTTTCTGTAAAGTTTGCTAGTTTAAAATCTGTTTTAGTTCAAAATAAAATTTTTATTTTTAATTTCTTTTTAAACATTATTAATTCACCCATTTAATATTATAAATTATTAATTTAATAATTATAATCAAAGTTATGCAGTATAAACACAAAATGAATTGACATTGTTATTCTGCCGGGCTCTCTTTTAAGACAATTTTTATTTTTTTTTTTTTTTTATATATATATATATATATATATATATATATATATATATAAGAAAATAATGAGAATGTCCATTATAATTTCTTAATATGTATATATAAAAAATTTTTCAAATTTGTTTTATAATGTTTTATTTTATGAAAATATTTATTTATTTATTAAATATTATATATTTTTTTAAAAGAATATTTCAAATTGTCCTCAATTTTTCAAAAAGAAATAACTTTTTGTTACAAATAAATTAAAATTACTGTTAGTTAAAAAAAAAAAAAAAAATTTTTAAATATTTATGACACTTTAAATTTAAGTTTAGGAATATTTAAACAGTGACGTTCCATGAAAAAAAAATCACGCTTTGACGTCAAAAGTTTGTATTAAAACGCTTAAAATTTAATTATAGTCAAAAACAGTAATTTAATTTTTTTTTACTAATAAAACAGTTATTTCATGATGAAAAATTGAGGACAATTTGAATTATCAAATATATATATAAAATATCTTAACTTTTTTCTCAAAAAATTTGGAGCCAAATAATTTTCAAGTTTGAAACTTTTTATAAAAAAATATATATATATATATATATATATATATATATATATAAAAGAATTTCCAGCCAATGTCACATTTGATTTCTTTTTTAAAAAATTGACCTTGTGTCACAAATTGTCTCCATGGAGAAGCAGTTAAATTACAATAATTTGTTTTATAACAGTTTTAATCCATAAAATCATTTTTAGGACCAGTTATTAAAAAAGATTTTTTTTTTGTTTAATAGCATACTACAAAAAACAAAATAATTCTTCTTTTAAATAAACAAAAAAAAAAAAAACATTGATTTTATGAAATTTAAATTTGTAAGTCCCAAAATTCTATGTATTTCTTAAAATTTTATAGCTTATAAAATGGATTTTCATTTTTATTTAAAAAAAACAAAGTTTTTATTACAAAAAGTTTTAAAGTTTTTTTCAAGGAGAAAGTTTTTTATTAAAAGACCTAAAATTTAATTTCCATTAAAAATTGTATTTAATTCTATTTTACTAATATTTTTCTTTGACATAATTAAACTTTCCTGTATTAAATTATTATGGGATTTAAAATGTTTCAAACTTTTCCTTATTTATTTCTCCTCAGAGCCAAATGAGATGCAAGTTTTATAAGTAGAATTGTATAAAAAAAGTTAAAAATTAGTATTTTTATCCCATTTTTTTCTGGCATGATTCAGCTATAGATTTTTCCACTTTTAACATGATTTGCTTTAATATTTCTAAAATAAAATTAGTAAAATTTCATCTTCTGATAATTTAATAAATAACTGAAAAAAAAATTGATCCCATGCAAAAAGTACATATTTACAGTTGTTCTCATCCTTATGAAGATTTCAATCATTTTTAATCTTATTTTAATGTTTTGTAACAATTGAATCTCATACCTTATAAAAAAGTTGGATATCAATTATTTTTTTTTTTTTTTTTTTTCAAGGGATAATATTTTTACTGTGTTTTAATAACTTTCTTTTTTTTTTTTAACAAAAATAAAACACTTTTTGATTATTTTTAGAAATTATTAAATTTTTTAGTTGTGAGAAATTTATTTTAGACAGTAAAACTTATTAGTGATTAATTTTTTAGATAAGATTGAAGACCCTTTATTATTTATTTATTAAATTGCTGTGATAATTTATATTTAATTCTTATTAAACATCTGTAATCAAATTTAAAATTTGCATTTAATTTTTTATTCACTGTCCTGCAGGATTAGGTACTCCTTTGTACTTTATCAAAATATATGCATGAGTTAAACCACAATACATAGGATGATGCCTTTTGCTTAGATATATTATTATTGCAATATATATATATATATTAGGATGTCTCTTATTTTTAAGTGGATGCTGAAATTGATTTGTCACTCATAAATTTGTACGATTCATTGAAAAATGCCACATATAAAATTTTATGGAGATTGCATAATATTTAGAGGGTTCCTTTTTTGCTTGTTAAAAATTAAAAAAAAGGTGGAAAAAAAAGACCCTTTTTCTATTTTACAATTAGTTCCAAACCATTATTAGTTGAATCTTTACAAATTATACACATTAGAAAACTAGAATCATTTTTTATCTAACAGTGAAAAATTTAAATTTTAAGTGATGTTTATTATTTTCAAACCCCAATTATGACAAGTGTATCCAATTCCAAGCAGAAAAGTGTAGTTTGGAAGATTTCTGATGATAACCAAAGTAAAGCAATATGTCAACTGTAGCTAGGTACTTTAAGTGATTTACGTAAATAAATTGTTCTCTTTATTGTTTAAACTCTTACCTAATTTTTTTTAAATAAAAAGGATATCTAACTTTATTTCATAAGCTTTTGTATTCATGTTTTTTTACTAAATGTTTTATTAATAAATGTACTTTGTTCATTAAGTTTCCCAAATCAACTGTAGGGCCTGAAAATAATGAATTTTAATCATTGTACGTATTGGAATTGGGAATTTTGGATAAGAGATTTCACATAAAAATGGCTATTTTGAGAGAAATGATAGAAAAGAAATTGCTGAAACCTCATTATCAGAAAATAAGAATAACTGGGTAGGTAAAAATTATATAAAAAAGATGCTTATGTTATAATTCTCAAGCAATTTTTACAGATATGTTCCCTATAGAAAATAATTAGATAAACTTCTGGCTGTCAGTCAAGCTGTCAACACCTTGAATAAACACCTACCTCTGAGTTAAAAAATGCATTTCTATATTTTAAACTAAAAGTAAGTAATATATGTTTCAAATTAGATTAATTAAACTTCAAATCAGTTAATATACCTCAAATAAAGTTTCAAAAAATCATTTTTTTTTAATAAAGAGAATTACATTGTGATGAAAGATGACTAAAAACATTGTAAAAATCAGCAATTTAAAAAAAGAAACTCCTTCCAGTCAATTTAAATTAGTTTTGTAATACAACAAAGTATTTTGCTTATTGGAAATATTAAATTTAATCTATTAGCTTGAAATTAAAACTTTAAAAAAATTTTCATTTTTAAAAACTAATTTTAAACCTTAAATTTTTAAGGTACCACATTTCTACTATAAAGACACTGAGAGTGATTTCAGGGACACCGTTTTGGTTTCTATAAGATACTCTGTTGTACAAACCAAGCTGAACAACCCCTCCGCCAATATACACACACACACACACACACACACACACACACACA